TGCTAAAGAGCTGCTGCCTGCCTTGTGAGCAAGCACCCTGTGTCCTGCGCAGTGGTGGCGCTTGGCAGTGTAGCTAAGGGGAAATGTCACCCAGCAGCCTCTGTGAGTCCCACTTGGGATGGGGAGAAAAGGAACTGTAGAGCAGGTGGGCAGTGCAGTGGGGCTGTCTGCAGGCACCCTCTGCTCACCCTCCAGTAGCACAGGTAAGTAACAGCCCTCTCCTCTCTCTTCTCTGCCTTCCCCAGGGCTACCAGATCCCCAAAGGCTGGAGCGTCATGTACAGCATCCGTGACACCCATGAGACAGCGGCTGTGTACCAGAGCCCCCCCGGCAGCTTTGACCCCGAGCGCTTCGGCGCCGGCCGGCCGGAGGCTGCGGGCCGCTTCCACTACATCCCCTTCGGCGGAGGGGCCCGCAGCTGCATCGGGAAGGAGCTGGCCCAGGCCATCCTCAAGCTGCTGGCCATCGAGCTGGTCAGCACGGCCCGCTGGGAGCTGGCCACCCCTGGCTACCCCCGCATGCAGACCGTGCCCATCGTGCACCCTGTCGATGATGGGCTGCAGCTCTACTTCCACCCCTTGCAGCCCAGCCAAGGCCACGAGGCCTGAGCCGGGGAGGGGTGCACTGCTCCCCTCAGCCTGGGGCCGATGCCCCTCCACAGCTGCCAGGAGCAGGTCTCTGCTGCCCCAGGCTGCGAATGCTGCTGGGTTACTGCTGAACAAAACCTTAAAGGTCTTTCTATTTTCCACTCCTGGTGTACAGGCTGGTAGGGCGTGCAGGTGCTGCAGCAGGGTATCCTGCAGAGCACTCCCGAGCACTGGGGCAAAACCTGATGAAGATGCTGGCAGGGTGCATATGCCATGGGGGCTCAGTCAGCCCCTGCCCCATACAGGCCTCCAGCTACCAGGGATGGGGAGCAAAACTCCCAGACCCACAGCCAAGACTCCCAGTGTTATCTCCTGTAGGTGTGTTATAGGAGAGGCAGGAGAAACATCCTGCACATTGTAGCTATTTAGATGAAAAAAGAGGGAGGTGGGGGGCTCTGCAGGAAAACACAAGCCAGAGTTGCCCAATCCCCAGCATCAACTCTAGCTAGAATAATAGGGTGTAAAGTGGTTTTTATTGTAAATATTTAATCTCATTCATGCACTTCCCATTAGAGCTGGCACAAGGAGGATATGTCTCATTCACCCACTAGTAGCAGCTGTGTATGTTGTACTTCTGCACATCATAGCTGCTGCTTGGGGTCTGCCATGAAACCATCTCTGAGGTCCCGCCAGGATATCCTCCCCAGCCACAGCCTGCCCATGGGATTGGACTGAAGCAGGGGGAGGGGGCTTTGGGGAACAAATGTTTAGAAAACAGATATTTCTGAATGTGTCTGAATTGTGGTACAAAGTCCCTTGTTCCTGATGATGCTGTTCACATTGCAGAGGGGACATGTGCAAGGTGCCACAGGCCCTGTGGTAGCTGGCTGGCTGGCCAGACTGTCACCTCTGTCAGCCCAGCTCTGCCAGGAAAAGTGTCAGGACATGCATCTATCCAAGGGGTGGTACCCGAGGCTAAACATGGATGCTGAGGGCACACTTGTAGATGGCTTTTGAGTACCCCTACAGGGTATTTCTCTCCCATGTAAAATAAAATGAACTGAGTCCCGTTGTTTGTGTACTGAGAACAGATCTGGGCACGGGTCCTTGATCTACAACAACACGTGTGTAAATTTCTTTCAGCTTCACTTCTACTCCCCACTGTCATGTATTCTGTGTGAATGCAGTGGGAAAATAATCCTCCTTGTCCCTCCAGAGCACCCCATGCCTGGTGGTGTCTGTGTGCTCTGTGTGAAGAACCAGCTTGACCTGTGAGGGCCACAACATGGCACGAAGACAGTGTCCCTTTGGAAAGGCTCTGGGGAGCTCTCCAGGCTCCTGAAACTCTATCATCATTCTGCTTGGGTGCTAGAGATGGCCTTGCCCTGGCCAATCCCTCTTGCCTGGCCGTGCTGGGGCACTGCAGCGACCACCACGCTACCTCGGATAGAAACCTGGCTCCCAAACGTGACAGGTCAAATCTGGAAGAGGTTGAACTGCAGGGCTGAGTTAAGTGCTATTGGCAAGTCGACCCTGTAGTGAACCAGAGCCTCTGGCCCTCCTGACCTTGTCCTGAAAGGTGAATCTTTTTGCCTATCAGAGGTGAAATCAGTAGATGGTGGCTGCAAGTGGCAATGACTAACGTTAATTAGCAGGAGCTACTGGCTGGCTGAGACCGCAGGCGATTCAGGGTCTCACCGCGGGCAGGGCTGGGCCTGCAGTGTCCGGCACCCCGGGCAGGAAGGTCAGGGCTCCTCCCGCAGCGCACTTAAAAATTACTCTGAGCGCCAGCAAGCCCGCTGAAAAATGTAACATGAATCTAGTTAAAAAAAAAAAAAAAAAGAAACAAAAAGAAACTGATAAACTGATTTTGTTTGCAGATAAACACGAGCATTTAACAAATGAAGTGTAATAATTGTTACTTGTAATCAAAGTTTGTTCATATTAGGCTGTTAATTTCTTGACCCCCTTCCAAGATGTTTTTAATTATCCCTTTCACTCTTTACCATTTGATTCTTTTCAAGCCGATGGCTGGGGAATACACAGCTGGGAAGATAATAAAGCCTTCCTGTGGCAATTATCGGTGCTCAGGCCACCGTATCTCGTTATTTTGATAGACAGTGAACTTGGCGCGGTTGCCGGCCGGGTTCACGCAGATGTCACGGTCCGTGTTGTAGGTCACAAGCAGGTCAGCGCCCGGCAAGGGGAGAGCGCCGGGTCAGGGCGCGGCCGCCGCTCCCGACCAGCGCCGGCCGGGCCCGCGGCGAAGCCCGAGGGGCTACCGGGCAGTCAGTGCCCTCCGGGGGGCTCCCTCCTGGGCAAGAGGCTGCGGAGGCGGGCAGCCCCGCTCCAACAAGGCATCGTAAGAGGAGGGCGGGTCTCGTGTGATGGGTTGATTGTTGGAAAAATAATAATTAAAAGCGACATCTCCCTCTCCCCTACACAGACACACACACAAAACTTCCAGCGTTTATTGAGCTTGTCTGGAACAAGAAAGCAAAAGTAATAGGGACGGAAAAGATAAAAATGGTAAAGAAAAAAAAAGCGTATTGGCCGCAGCCGTGGTCGGCGGAGAGCTCCTCGCCCCG